TTTTTTTTTTTTTTGAACCGCTGGGCAACAATGGAGGAGGAAGCAACAATGGAGGAGGAGGAAGACCACCAACAATTAATACGAGACATATGCTCACTCTTTTTGCTTTTTTTATCTTTTTTTTTTATTATTTTTGGTAGGTAAACATTAGTAAGGGTAGACTAGTACTTTTAACCCCTAAAATGACTAGATTTCATCTTTTTTAAAAACATGGCTACATTTCATTTTTGTCTTCACAAAAGGGCTACAAACCGGCGGGACTGATTAAAAAATACCTTCTGATCAGGGGGTTCTTTTAGTTGTTAACAACCCTTCACAGTAGAAAAAGGCATGGGATTTTACCTATCTCAGAGGATCATTCGTTGTTAACCCTTCCTTTTAATCCTCTGGAAACTGGGCTTCAGCAGTTGGCTCGACAAAGATGAAACATCACTGGCCTTGTATGGTATCAGAGGCTTCTTTACCGGTGCACACACATCAGAAGAAAGACTGCCTGGCGAAACTGCTTTCCTTTTGAGCTGCCTTGGGATTTCGAGCCTCTCAAGGATTCTCGAGGTCTTCTCGTCCAACTGCCTGCTGTTATTATTCTGTGATGGTGAAGTCATAACCGCTTGGTCCAGCTTGGAGACGGGATTGCATGTGGGAGAGTGCATTATAACACCGAGTTCGTTAACTATTAGCTTTTCCCATTCTTCTGAAAGGATTGACGCACTTTTGTCTTGTTCTTGTTTGGCGTCACTTAGTGGAAGTTTGTTTTCTGTGATTACTGAGGATTGATCATCCTTAGGACTGTTTGTATCCAAGTCTGGACATTCCGAGTTTCCTTTACTTTTGAGAGGTAATGCCCTGCAAAGACAAAAAATAATTAGCAATGTTTTGATATTTTGTGTGAAAATCAGATGGCAGCACTTGCTCATTTGGAACAATAGTAACTTATGGATAAGAAGTTTCTAGATTTTGAAAAAAAAAATAGAAATCAAAACTCGAAGAATGCACAGTTGAAAGAAACAGATTATGCGTAGGAGACTTGAACATGAGTAGAGATGATATTTATTTACCCAAATTGAAGGCTCTCTTTAACGAGGAAGTTCAATTTCTTATGGAAACCTCTCTCGTGCTGGATGGGATTGTAGTCATTTATTTCTATCTGGAAATAATCAACATTCAATTCGTTATCATCACAAAGTGACAAGTGGATGGATGGGATTGTAGTCCTATATATTAAATTTTGCCACTGAAGTTATTAGCAGCCATCATCAACTTAGCTTTTAAAAGTTTTTATCTAATAGATCAGTATAGTTTTAGCAGTTAGCAGGTCAACACAATTTAGCATAAGAAAAAGGTACCAGATACACAAAAAAAAAAAAAAAAAAAAAAAAAAAAAAAAAAAAAAAAAAAAAAAAAAAATGATGTAATTGAAATCCAAAATGGTATAGAAACTGTACTGATTTAACCTTTAGGAAAGAATCTTGCACTGTGTTTTTAATCTCTTCATCCACCACACAGCTAGTGAGTTGGCTAACATCAGGAATAGGCATGAACTCCTCCAATGCTGACAGTCGCTGCATATTTTATAAAAGAGACTCATGATTACTTACAAGTAGAGGAAATAAAAGATAAAGAAAAAGAAAACTTCGGGTGAAATTTTCTCATATCTAAAATGTAATGGAAGTATGGAAACAATGATAAGTTAAAAGGTGGAAACGAAGAAGGAACAAAAAATTCCTGACGCTCATCAACCACTACTCCAATTTTACATCTCATCAATTTTATCCTACTGGTTAGCTATGGTAATAAACAATTCAACCCTCAGCCCACATTATTCCTCCTATATTTCAGAAAGTTCTGAAAAAATATAAAAGATGCTTTGCAAAGATGAAAAAAATGAACAGTTCCCATGAAAGCAGAGAGAACCTCTTGGTAGTCTGCAGAACTGATGTGTGCAAGCACACACACACACACAGAGAGAGAGAGAGAGAGAGAGAGAGAGAGAGAGAGAGTGGCGAAATGCAGTTACCCTGAGAAGCATCAGCCTTTTGTCCGTAGGTAATAGAATATAATAACACTTGAATGAAGTCTCCATTCCAGTTTCAATGTTACAGTTTGATGAGCAAACCAGGCCCTGATCGAGGGAATTCAGAACATTGCATACCACTTGAAAGACTGTTGACACAAGCATTAATGAAAGATTATCAGCATCAAATATATAGTCAAGATATATTTGATCAAAGATAAAGTGTGTGTCCCACCTACCTTGATTGTTTAGCTCTGAGTTGTTATCATCAGAATGGCTAAAAGTTGATGGAATAACAAAGTAGGCAGCGCCCATTAATAACCCTGTGGAGAAAAAATTAGATATGAATTAAACCTGGCATGCATTGACTAAAACATTATATGTAGTTAAATTCCTACATCAGAGAAAAGAGGCTGGCTAGTTAAGGGTTCAGAGATAAAACTACAGGATTGTAAAATGCAAGTGGCCCATATCAGTTGCTCAAAATTTAAGAACTTGCTCACAAGTCATTTCAAAAATCTACAGGGAAATAAACCTCTTTTCGCATGTAAAAATCTTTTACCCGATAACTATGTTTCAATCAAGCAGAAAGAGAGATTCTATATGTCAGAACTCGAACCGGTGGGCTCCATAGAACTTGTGCAGATACATANGAACATTCGAAAATCACAAAACAAAAAAGATGGATATAATGATTAATGCCAGCGGTGAATATGTGGACTTAAAAGCACATAGTAAAATATTGAAAATAACAAGATGCACATTTTTTCAGAGAAGTACCTTCACATAGTGATACTAAGTTGGTCCTCTGAATGACATCGAAGTCAATGGGTGATGCAATTTTCTTGAGCTTCGAACAACCCTGGAAAGACGGCATATAGAGGATTGTCTGTTCACCAACCCTGACAGAGTTCTCAACAATATCTAAATCTCCAAGATCATCACTGGTTACTGGACAAGACAAAGACTTGTTGGCCTTCATATTTGAGTGACCCAATGGTATGCCATGACACCTGCATGTCTGCTTAAATACAGCATTACTGTAATGAACTGATCTCATGATCAAAGTTAAAGCAATGCTGCATGAACCATTGACTCCTCATTCAGCATAAGAAAATTAATTACTATGAGGCATGGATGTTCTCCGACACAAACTAACGTTACCAGTCTTATCCAAATTGATATAATGCTAAGAACAAGTTACCAGAATATCTGTGCATATATGCAAGCAGTTATTCAACTGATGGCCGGTGATATGTGGATGCTGGAATAGTGATTTGAGGGTTCTCAAAAAAGCAAAACATCTAATGTACCAGAATCGCTTAAATTTCCATCCCATGTACTTTGTCAATGAAATGCTACAAGATACCTCACAAAAGAAGAACTCATCGACCATAGGATTGAAAGATGCACATAAGTTGCAGGATATCTGATTCATTGAGCTCATTAGATTGGTCTTGAATATAAAACTAGCTTGTAATGGTTCTTCTCTGTCATATATTAATTCTCGGAGCCATCTTTTCACGAGACCATGCAATACTTGTAGATCTGAAAAATATAATTCATATGGATCATTTTCTATTGTGCTCTGCCAAGTCAAATTTCTATTGTATCAAGCAATCAATAGCTTAAGGCTCAATAAAAGACTGAAACTTATAAACCCATCCCAGAAATTGTAATATAATAAACTTCAGTTGTAACATCATAGCCCAATGCTGTTCTGATGTAAAAAATCATACAGAACCAACAGAACCTGATTTTTTCCATTATCCATAAAACATCGTCAATCTATAGCAATAATGTACTATCAACTTTCTGTAGTAACAAGCAATCAATAGCTTAAGGCTCAATAAAAGACTGAAACTTATAAACCCATCCCAGAAATTGTTATCTAATAAACTTCAGTTGTAACATCATAGCCCCATGCTGTTCTAATGTACAAATTCATACAGAACCAACACAACTTGATTTTTTCCATTATACATAAAACATAGTCAATATATAGCAAAATGTGCTACCTAATAAATAGTTCTCATGCATGAATTAATGTAATCTAGAACTTCCAAAGACTTACTACGATGATTTGCAGTTATATCTCTTGTTTACCTGGAATCAATGACTGAAATGAGCAGTTTTTAAGAGAATCAATCTGTTTTACAAGTTGATCAATACCACCATGGTGGTTTAATGTTCGCTCCAAGAAAATAAGTTCCACTATAACATTCTTGTCAGAAGCATCCTGTGAAGAAAATTACATAAATATTTATATTGAAAAATATTTCATAACAGTGGTGTACTGAACGATGGCAGAAAATTGGTCTCACCATTAGAGCTTTTATTGTTTCAGAATTCAGGGCACCAGTAAGAGAAGAACTTATCGAAATCACTTTTCTTGCAATATTTTTGTCATGGCCTCCCCAAGTGTACAGACTTTCTTCACTCAGGATATCAACCAGCTTCAGGTCTACAACAGATCATAAGAACGTACAAATAATTGACTTATCTGGAACTAAATGCCGAAATAATAGTTTTTTTATTTTCTGCATATATGGTTGCTTGCGCATGAGGTTCAGCAGGGGATGGAACACAAAACGTATTACCCCTACATAAAGCTCCAGAATCACTGGATTGAAGCGAGAAAGCATCGGTAGGCACATTGTTTAGAGCATGGTGAAGATCGCGCAGATTGAAGTTTCCATGTGGATTATATGCAATCTTCAGCTGTTTAACATACAAGGTCCCACCTCTTATACTTATTTTAACTATTATTTACTGTTGAGATTTAAAATTTGAGAGGAACAGTCATGCACGCAAAGGAAAATCTCACCAAAATAAAGCAATATATTTTGGCATGCAGAGCAGAGGTTCATATTATAATTATATTTCACGCATCTTGACTTTTTATTTCAAATCGCCAATGATGCATGCAGCTACTCCAGAAAGCGAAATGAACAATCAAAGAAGCTCCAAATAGTCTGAAGCTGATATAAGATACACACAACAGGTAGTGTAACAATTACATTACCATGGAGTATCCTATGTTGGGTTTTAGAAATTTGCATCTAAAACATGATAATCATCAAGTTCAATTTGGCGTCAAGATTCTCTTAAGAAATCACATATTCAGATGCAGGTTTTTCTTTCCAAATACAAAATCATACTCATCTAGGCCGACCTCTTTAATCAATTGTCATCTTCCTCAAAAATAGGAAATCGGTGCAGCTTTCATTAAAAGATAAAAAAACAACTAGCATGAATGTTTCACTAATTACAACAGCATAGATTAAGCCATCAAAATAGATCAAACGAAATTCGAGCACTGTAAAACAAAAATTAATGCTAAACAAAATCACAAACAAGATTAAGGAGTGCGTAAAAGCTGCTGGTTAGAAATACCTCATCGGCACAAGAAACTCGATCCCGGGAGACATAACAGATTCCAATGCGATCAAGTAGCGCCTTCGCACTCGAATGACCTCCATCAATACCATTGTTGATTTTCGGAAGCGACACTGCGTAGTAATTTGCTAGCTGAAACAACGACTAGCGCAGTGAACAAGGAAAAAAACGTAAAATCAGGTTTAATCAACATCTCATCAGGAGAAAAATCTGAAAACGAATGAAAACCGAAATAACATCAAAATAATGATCAATTGTGACGCAATCCATAAAATCGATAGAGTTTGTGCCATTGTGTGTGCAAGCACCTGTTTCAGATCTCGAAGAACTGGAGGCGACAAGCTACGCAAATCCAACACGAAGCACAGCAGTGCCATATTTCAGCTTCTTCTCCTTTTGACTTCTCAAAATTTTCTCCGTTATGGAGAGTGCGATAAAATGAGCCGATAGTTCCAGTTTATACGAGTTCGACTCTTTGGCGCGTATATGGAAACATGGNTTTATCTTCACTTACGTATAGACACGACCACGTTGTGTTTGGCCAGAACCAGCCCGGTCACCACGGACCTTGAACCAGCCCATGGTTTTATCGGGCCCGTTTCGGTTCAACCATTACAAATTTTTTCGGTTTAACCATTACAAATTTTGAATCAATGGTTCCAGTTCCGAATCAGAACTAGAACTGACGTTCGGCTTAATTTTTTTTAATCTTTTTTAGTTATCTCTTGTCTTTTTAATAAATTGGACCGACTTGGAACCGACGGTTCACTGAATCGGCCCGTGAATATGATAGCACCGGTTGATGGCCCTCCAAACCCCGGTCTGAACCAGGGTTTGGCCACGTCTACTTACATAGTTTCATCTTGAGAACCAAATGGATAGACAATTTTTTGAGGTCGGCGCTGCTCTGACAGATGTTAAATGTGATCTGAGGTTTCACCAATGATTACCTACCTGTCGGTATTAAATGCTCACATGTGATGCATTTAATGCTGACAGACCTTTCTATCGGGCTAGATGCCCTAGGGTATTAGGCTAGGGTGGCGCATCCCATCGGCAATCATTAGCTGATAAGTAACAATATTTTATTAATTTTTGGCCCTGCATCCATCCAGAAGTCGATCTCGTAGAATCTCCAGGTCGGACTTTCACCATTATTTTATTACCTAATCTCCGGGATTCTGTTTTTCTGTTCGGCGTTTACGGAGGTCGGCCTCGTCTTTGAACTGTGCAGGTGCCGATCTCAAGGATCATACTGTTTATCGCTCTCGTCAACTTTGTTTCCTGGTTAGCTCGGCATGTCATGGTGATTCGGACACCGGACCGGATTTTGAGATCATCTTTGCCCGGTCCCTTGTCTTCGAACCATAAACTTTACGCCAGCCAAACTCGGATATCAACAGCATAAAGCAAAATCATAATACATTTGTACAATTGTTTTTTCAATTCAAATGACACATTTTATTCAACCAAAGCAGTTATTACAAGGATGATTTTATATGAATATTTATTAAAGTAGTAATTCAATTAAACTGTTTTCACGACGCCATATGTAAAATACCTAATTAGTAACACATACGTGACAGTGAACAACAGTTTGGGCAATTTAATCTTGAACCCATACCATTCACCTTTGTTTTGTTAATTGAGGGTTTTTTAATGTGATTGTAATGTCTCATTTTCAATGATGACATAAATACAGTACAACTAAATAGCATTTCCAAACAATATTAATCTAACAAGCACAAACTAAATCGGTGATGTTGTATTATATTAAAGGCCACATATGAGTTTTTTTAAGGTTTAACACTAATTTATCATCCATGAGACACAAATATGAAAATCAAAAGGAACTTTCATTCAAACAACAATTCATGATAGACTGATGTTCCAAAATAAAAGTACACACAAAATAAAAGAGTACATAGAAGGTTAAAAAGATGTTAAACACGTTACATAAGCATCTCCAATATACAATCTTGACCTTTATCGTAACCATTCACAACTTTATATAGTAGAAATACCCTCAACAAAGTCGATACGCTTTTCTATTTTGACTAATGGATAGAGTCGCGCGATACGAGTTTGAACGATCAATCAATGCCAACCCCATTCTCACATCTAAATTTTTTTTCTTTCCAACCAACATCTTGTTCAATGATTGGAATTGTTCAACCTTTTTATGCAATTTGGTATTCTCAAATTGCAAGTCTTCATTTGTTCCCTCTCGTTCATTGATCTTCCTCAATAACCCAGGTATACTCTTTTAAGTATGACGAAGATCAAGTAAATTTCATATGGTGACTTAAAGTCCGGGAAGGACAACACATTGCAAAGTAAATCACGACCTCTCTACAATTTTCAACACATGGAATGACAGATCCTTAAATTATTCAAATCTGTAAAATTAAAGATGCTCTTGCATGTGAGGAAACATCCCCAGGAACAAACAAGCTACAATTCAAACTAAAAAAACACAAATAAAGCAGATATTTTAGACCCGAGACTGTGCACAAATTCTACATAAAAACAACGTACATCTGAAACATGTCAACAAATTTGGAGGGTCTAAGGTATAAACGAAGCACGAATCGAGTTGGTTGCCAATTTGTAGATACGAAATTGCAATGCAATTATAAAAAGGGAAGCACGAAGAAATCAATAATCTATAGTTGGAATGACAAAATTAATAACACGTTCACACGGAAATCGAGTTGTATCTCGTGCAATAGCCATTCTCTTCGCCCTCGACCACAATTTCTCGACCGATTCCACCTGCTGCACTTCGACCGGATGCAGGGTACAAATCGGTTACTGCATGGACGACAAAGCTCGCGACATTGGCTTCTGCAAGGTCGTCAAACCAAGCTTCATTTCCGTCACTAAATCGCATATTCTAGGGTTCATGGAATGCGATGTTATTCTCATGTCCAGCGTTCTAAAAGTCACTAGGCACCAACTACGTGCTCGACCAGCGTCTAGACGGGGCCTAGAAATCAATATTAAATACCTTATTTTTTATTTATTTTAACTACCTACAAAATAAAACTATCTCAACTTATAATACATCCACACACCTAAGTCCAAATAATAATATTAATATATTTTATAAAAAATATTAAAACAAAATAATATAATTAGTATTCAAAAATAAAAAAATAAAAACTGAAAAATTGTTGTCGAGCCCGCCTAGACGCCGCCTGACCCATTTTTTCGGTCGATTTGTGCAAATCGGAGGCGGCCGGGCACTTCCTAGGCCAATTTTTAGAACAGAGCTTATGTCCAAGCTTCAATCCTGATATGTTCACGGCTTGATAAGGGCAAAATAGTAATGTCATTTAACAACATAACATTTTATCATGTATGGTAAATAGATGATTGGGTTTGGCAAAGATTGTATCATTTTTAGTAAATAATGGACAAAATCTGATGTGGCAAATGAGAGGGATTAATTTGTCCAATCACATCATATATAGTAAACGAAGCCTTGGATACAATTCAAACATAGCATTGCCCCGACGTGGCATTTTAAGTCCCCCATATCCACATGGCAGGCTATTATTTGGTTTTTAATAGCAGCTGGCAATTTATATGCATCACCGAGAAAATCTCATGTCCATATCGGTCAACTAATAATTACTACTTTGAAAATTAAACAATGTCAAAATTCAAGACAAATGCCAAATTTGGACGATTAAATGTTATCTATCATTATATAAAAAGAATAACTTTTTTACAATTTTAGAAATGTTTTTCCGCCAAATTCATTAAATGTATCATATATATAGTAATTATTAGACAATATTGATAAGGCAACAAAATCAGCAGATTAATTGTGTTAGAATCTGTTTTCCTTTTTTAGATTAATTGTGTTAGAATCTGTTTTCCTTTTTCCGTATTGAAAATCGCGTTATAAAATCTCATAGCATATATCTAGAGTTTATCTCTTATCTGTTACAAAATCCCATTGCATATGTCTCACAAGTTTAAAAAATCTCATCTCTTATCTATAACGATTTAAAAAAATAAAATAAAATAAAAACCAATTCATAATTACTACTAGAAATCCATTATCTACCTTAAAAAGCTAATTTTCATCGGTCTAATTACTAATATTTTTACAAATATTATAAGCTAACAATACATCCTTGATAACAACGTAAAAAGTATAATAATAATGGTGTGTAATCAAATTTTTTAGATGGAAGTAACGCCATAAATTCGGTATCATCTGACATAATGTCTTTTTAAATTATGCTTATAATATTTTAGATATTTTAAACAAATTGTTTAAATATTTTTTTTACATATTCGTCTATATATATATATATATATATATATATATATACATATACACATATACATAATTGATGTTAAATTTAAATATTTGTAGACATGTTTTCTTTACAAAATAGTCTAGAAAAATCTTTTTTACACAATGTTAAATTCAAATGTTTTTAGATATGTTTTCCTTTTAAAATTGTTTAGAAAAGTTATAGGTGACTTCACATCTTTCAAAAATAATATAGAAAATTTTGAGTACTTTTACATATACTAATATAATATTTTAGGTGTTTTTAATATTAAACATACAAATTTTATATTCTCTTATACAAAATAATATAAACTTCATATTCTCTTATACAAAATAGTTTTACATTGTTTGACCCCGAATCTTTAATTTATAATTATTAAGTATTGTTTATCCTCTTCTTTAATTTATAATTATTTTTTTTTCTTTCTCTTTTTAAATAGGATCAATAGTAGTTTCCACTTCTGCCATTGAGTGACTCAAACTCGAGGTCTATTTATAATATTGTTAGTTTAATATTGTTCGCGTGCATCGCACGGGGTACACACTAGTTTTTAGGTGAATTTGAATAGAATAAAATCATACACCCTTTGTAACAATTTTAGTAATTTACCAAAAAAATGAGGTTACGTAACAAAGCATCAGTTTCAAGAAAACGAAAATTATAAAATATTTTGCAAGCTAAAAAATGGTATGAAAATTCAAATTATTTGATATTATGGTCATGGAACACTTATATGATTATAAATATATATATATATNTTTGACAATTTAACTCACGTGTTTTTTATCTTTTGTAAATTAAAGCAAAATCATGAAATGAAAAACTATCATTTTTCATCTTTTGCAAGTCAAAATTCAATCAAATTCAGTCATGTTGCTACGAGTTATTCGACATGTTTACTACATTTTCTTTTTGTGTGTGTGTGGCAAAAAAGATTTGAGAAATTGACATCAACAAAAAATAATATAATTTAAAAATGCATGAAAAAATAAACTGAAAATTAATTGAACATAAACTATAATGTAAGTATATTTATAATTAAAATAAAGTTTCTTAAATATGAAAATAAAGTAAAACTTGAAAATAAATAGGATGATTTTCTCTTGCAAATTTATATTTGCCTGGATGTCAGGGTAGCATAGGCCCAGCATTCCGGCCATTTACTGTCCGATGCATTGGAA